TATGTATGTATGTATGTATGTATGTATGTATGTATGTATGTATGTATGTATGTATGTATGAAAATAAAAAAATGTGACAAAGATGACACTGGTAAACTGCAACAGCTACTATTCTGTAACATCTCTAACAGGAAGAAAACTCAATGGCTCCCTTCAAAGCATTCTATGTCACAAGACATTAAAGCTGTACAATAATCATAAAAAAATTCAAATAACAGACTTTCTGATAAAAGTTTATATTTAAAAAGAGGTTTCAAAAAGAAAGACACATTTTTTGAAATTTATTATTGTTATTATTAAGCATACATATTAAAGCTTCCCCGCTCAGTAGTTCAGGGCTGACAGGTGACGTGCGCCCCCGTGTGGCGGAAGCCTGAAGTGTTGACAGCAGAGCGGCACGGCACGGCGCGGCAGGCGGCCCGCCACTCGCGATAACACGCGCTAGCAGCAGCTGCTGGGCGGAAAAGGCGGGAGAAGACTGCCGCTTCCGCGTCCGCGCAGCACAGACGACGCTGGGGCAAAATGGACGATAAGTTAATATTGGCTGTATTTAATTACCCGGAGCTTTACAACGTTACACTGCCGAATTACCGCTGCACAGAAAGTCGGACAAATGCCTGGAGAAGCATCAGCATGGAGCTGGGACTTCCGAGTGAGTGTGCCGCTTGTTTTTTCTGTTCGCTACAACTTTAATGGCAGTTATTATTTGTTCAGCTGTTTTCGGCGCGGAGGGCTGAAAGGACGCGAAATGTTAACTGCGCTTTTCTGAGAGCTGCGGCTGTTTCTCACACTGACCTGGGGGCATCTGTAATGGTTTTTGCGTTTCTCTGCACGGCTGACCTGCGGTGTGGATGCAGTCGCGCGCACCGTGCTAGCGGTAGCGGCTCGCTCGCACGCCGCCTTCGTGGGCCCGAGGTGCGCAGGCCGCGCTGCACCGAACCGCACGGTCCCGCTCCTCCGCGCTCACCGCCGCGTGCTCAGCACCGCGCGGCGGAGGAAAGAAGATATTTGCGCTCCGGTACGGAGTCGTAGAGCCGCGTGCCTCTTTCGAAAGCTCGTGGGCAGGGAGAGCGCCCAGCCTCAAATACAAGCAGGTGCACTGCTTCGCGGCCAAGGGGTGAACTCATGACTTCCAGACTTTGCAAGGAAAAAGGAGCACAAATAAAAATTATACAAAGAGATGAAAGTATCGTCAAAGCGCGTCACTTTTCTTTATAAAGAAAAATTCTAAAAAAAAAGAAAAAAAAGAAACGTCCTTTATTCTCCGTCATTGGGCAAATTCAGGTGTTCCAGTAGCAAAGTGACAGATATGGAAAATCACTCAAAAGTAAAGAATACAAAATTTAAAAAGGAAGAAGAAAGAAATAAGAGGCAAAGAGTTAACCTGGAGTGCCTGGTGAGACATTTGGCCCTCCCCTAGACTAAACCGCATGAGATAAATATAATTCCTTTTGTTTATTAAATGGCTGTAAATATGTTACTTCAGGTTCACTGTCTTAAATAAAAGCACAACTAAGCATGGATATAAAAACAAACAAACAAACAAAAAACAACAACAACCCACCTAAAAAGGCCATTTCTGGGCCAGGTAAAACTCTGGTCTAGTATAAAAACACACACTCACCAGTGTTGTTAGGTACAGACATGAAAGTATGGATCCATGCCACCTTGTACCAACACTTCAGGCTGATGGTGCTGTAATGAGGTGGGAGATGTTTTCTTGGCGCACTTTGAGCCCCTTGGTATCACCTGAGCAATGTTACATGGTAAATGGCCTGTATTTATATAGCGCTTTACTAGTCCCTAAGGACCCCAAAGCGCTTTACATATCCAGTCATCCACCCATTCACACACACATTCACACACTGGTGATGGCAAGCTACATTGTAGCCACAGCCACCCTGGGGACACTGGCGCCACCGGGCCCTCTGACCATCACCAGTAGGCTACGGGTGAAGTGTCTTGCCCAAGGACACAACGACCGAGACTGTCCAAGCCGGGGCTCGAACCGGCAACCTTCTGATTACAAGGCGAACTGCCAACTCTTGAGCCACGATCACCCCATGGCACAGCCTACCTGAGTATCGTTGGTGAACATGACCATCCCTTTTATGACCACAGTGTTCTGATTGATGTGGGATAACACACCACACCATAAAGCTCAAATCATCTCAAAGTGGTTTCCTGATCATGGCAATGAGTTCACTATATGTTGTTGAATCTGTGCCATCAGGAGTTATTTAATTTGAAGCTCAAAGGGGGGCCAATTGTTAATGAAACATCATCAATGATCTGTAGTGTCAAATACAAGGCTTGGGGTAAGCACTCCAATCTGACCTGCTGAATGGCTTTGAAAAATATGAGAGAGGGCATACTTTAAGCACCTTTGCTGATAAAGAGCTCCCTCACAGCCATTCATGCTACATTAAAGCAGATAATGAATTATATATGACAGAAAAGGTCCTGTTTTTTCACTGTCTACTATAAAAATGTTGGTTAAAACAAAATTTTCATCAATTGCGAAAAACTGCCAAAACTTATTTTTTTTATATATATACACATTTATCATGTTGAAAAACTGAAATGTGGTGTTGAAATGACACTTCTTTATTTCATAGTAAGATATCTTAAGGATTAAATGTGCAATTAAATGTCTTTACACTGACAAAAATAGTTTTACTGGGCCACTTAAGATCAAAGTGGGCTGTATGTGCCCCTCGATGCAAAATGACTTGACTGATCAAGTCAGCAGTGGTAGGCTTTACTCTAGAGATGAGGGGAAAAATCAGTTCAATACAGTAGGTCTGCATCATTTCAGATAATTTAATTATAAAAAATTCTCGACAGTTATTAAGGCACGGCTTTGTAGCACGCAGATGGGCTAAACGATGTAAACGCGAGCATTTCACCCACATTTGCAGCTAAGAATAGACCTGCAATGCAAACAGATTTAGGAGCATGTGAATAAAAAGTTTGACAACATTAAGCCCACACAGCCCCCAGTTTTAAACAGAAACACTGTATTACACGTCAATACAATTAAAGGTTTTAGTTGCTGTTTTGACAGATGTTGTATTCAGTTTTTAAATATTTCTAAAATGGACAGCAATGAGCAGTTCATTTCAAAAGACCATTGTTTTACTCTTCTGAATATTTATTATTGCTCATTAAGAAATGATCCTGTGGCTTCTTGCTTCTTACGTTCTGATGTTCTACTTTTCAAGCCGAGGAGTGCAAAAGAAGATGGAAGAACATGAGAGACAGGTACCTGAAGGAGGTCCGAATGGAGCTTAAAAGCAAGAAGCAGGGAGAAAACGTTCAAAGCAAATGGAAATACAGACAACTTATGAACTTCATTGCGCCGTTCACTGGGTCAAGAAGTGGACTGCAGGAAATCTCTGCCAACAATGATGAGGACCACGACAACCCTGAAGACTCTAGCAACGTGGATGGAGAAACCGCTTTGTCAGAGGCAATCAAAACACCACAGAGTGCTGTAAAGGTCCCCGCGAGTCTGCCCGACCTCAAACCACAGGTGACATTTGTAACGCAGCTTCCTCCAGCGACTCAGGACACACAGGTGGCTCAGCTGGCTGTTCTGGCCAAGATACCATCACCCCCACAGGTCTCGCCTGTCACTGGCGTTACTGGGCAGAAACGGAAACCGGCCCAAGAGCCGCCGTCTGCACCTTCCTCCCAAAGTACGCCCATGCCGACAAAATGGTTGGTCAAAGACAATGTCCCCTCTTTTCCCACTAAGCCGCGGGACGAGGATGAACTGTTCCTGCTGAGCTTTGTTCCCGCTCTGAAGAGACTCGCTCCACAGAAGAGGTGCGAGACGAAAATAAAGATCCAGCAGATTATGTACGAGGCAGAGTTCAACGTTACACATTCAGCGTCTCAAGAAAAGAAGGTGGAGACAGAAACACAGCACTGATTACATTTAAACTTTTAAAAAATACTTTATTGTATTTCTTTTATATAAACTTCTGCCACAGAATTAGTAAAAGTGGTAGATATTAAAGAAATTTTTTATGTGAAGTAGTTTGTTCCCCCCTGATTAGTGTATTTATTAGGCAATAAAGACTTAGAGGCAATGAGGTCATTAGATTTACACCATAAACAGACAGTTAATCTTTATTTACATAACTTTATCAATAGATTTCAAACATATTTCGAAAAAGCTGTTTCTTAGTCAGTCTTAATTTTTACTCTAATAATTACAGTATTTTACATGTAATTACAATTGCATACAGTAAACTGATGAGAATAAATGCGTAGGTGAACACTGTTTAATGAATGACTCTTTCTGCTTACATGCTTCTTTTTAAATCTAAAATAAAGATTCTTGTATTCTGAAAAAGTGTCCGTTTGAAGTCACCCTCAGCTATTTAGTGGGATTTATGCTCTGATCGGGTAATTTCATTTCGAGCAGTTCCTGGACAGATTTGTTTTTTTTAAGGTCACTACCATCTGTAAAGGTCGACACACAGTTCAACAGCTTCAGATTACATTTAAGTAATTTTGTTATGTTGCAAAACTCAGTTAAAATAATCACTGGATCCCCAAAGTATGTCCCAAAGGACACGCTCATTGTTACTGTAGCCAAATAACTTTAACTGCAAAGTGCATCAAGCCAAAAGTCCTGTTTGGCAAACTCTTTTTTTCTTGTCTTTTCCCAGCATGCCTTCCATGCAGAATAAAGTTCTGTTTTCTCTTTCTGGCTGTAGACCCAAACACTATGTCGCCATCACTTGCAAGACTAAACCACTAATTGTGTGATGAAACTTTGGGGTTTCTGAAAACTTTTTTTGCAACAAATGATCAGCACTGAGGTTGACCTTGTTTCAGTGACCAGACCCAGGAAAAAAAATTAAATACAATTCCAAATAATCTGGAGATCTTTAGATTTAGATGGCAACAATAACAACATACACTTCAATAAATTTAAACACTGTACATTTCACTCATCAGTCCCTAAAGAATGTCTGTATAAAACTTTGAACTGCTTTTATAAGTAGGATCATTTTGCTTTTTATTATTTATAGCATGAAAATGACAAAAGTTCAGTTATGTGTCATTTGTTTATGTATAATCACATTTATTGCGGGGGGGGGGGGGGGAAGAAGTATGAAAGCAGAATCACAGATGTGTCAGATCTCTTGAGTTTTATGCAATTAGCAGCCAAAACATGATCACGAGAGCCACAAAGAGGAAGAGTCGAGACAGAAACTGCTCGTCCGTGTGCTGCGGTGTCCCCGGAGCCGCTGCTTGGGAAATTGTTTAACAGGAGGTTATTTGACATGCTAAATGCTTGGAGCGGTCATAGTGATGTGTGACAAACAAATACCTGGAGGAGGTCTTCCATCATTGATGTTAAAAGCTGTTGCAAAAATACCAAACGGAAAGGCACCGATCCCAAACGACATTTGGAAGCCTCCATCTCCAAAGCCAAATCCCTGAAAACCCTGTAATACGTATCATCAAAAGTTACGAAAGTCTGAGTTGCCTTAATGAGCAGACGTGTCTTTGCAATATCTGAGGTACAGTTTAATGTACAGCAAGTGAGACGTGACGCAACAGCAAGTGCCAAATGATATCATTCTCTGGAGACGCGCTGGCTCTCCACACTTATTATCCAACAGATCCCGGTGGGGAATGTCAGTCTGTTAATGGATACAGCAAACCTACATCACTGTATGCAATGGTTTCATCATGAATTCATAATATTGCTGGGCAGCTTACAGGGCTATAAAACACTACACTATGTCTAAATTCTTTTTTTAAAAAGAGCTTAAAATTTGGCATACTTCAGGATGATAATAAAAATATACCAGGGCTCTAGACTAACTTTTTGCCACGGTTGCACTGGTGCGCCTAACTTTTTTTCTTAGGCACACCCAAACTTTTCAACTGCATCGCTTCACACTGCAGTTTTACCTGTTTGCTGCTGCCTGCTGCTGAAAGGCAGAGGGGAGAGGGGACACTTGGGCAGTGCATTTATCGCAGCATATGTGTTTCCTGGGTACACTGTGCTTTTTCAGAGTTCAGAGATTGATGGCTCCGTGTCAGAGCACTGGCTATGAATTTCAGACGGATCAGGCCTTAACTTAACAAAAAGGTTATCAATCGTTCTTTTGATCTTTTCTGTGTGGTGTGTAAGCATCACTGCAGATGCCTTTGTGTCAAAGTAACTGAGAATAAAACACAGAAAAACATGAAGATTTTCCTGGCCTGGCTTTTTATAGCAGATAACCTTAAAAATATTCTGCAATTTTGCATAATTTTAAAAAGTCTAAACTTCTTCAGTATTGAACAGCAGAAATTAGGCTTTGTTGACAGACAGCGGCCGACAGCGCTGTAAACAACAGTAGACTGGCGGGTAATAATAAGCGAATGACTAATGCAGAAAACAGAGATTTGAGATGGGAAACTGTTCTTGAAGTACACTTTGGTCGCACTCTAGAGCCCTGTATACTGATCTATAGTACTTACCCCACGGTTTTCTGGCTCGGGCCTTTGTCCTTGTGGTCGTGGGGGTGTTTTTTCTCTGTAAAACATAACCAGAATTACCCAAAATGACTCCAAATCACTAATATTTAATACTATCTAATTATCACAGTCACCAATTTTACCCACCTTGGATCCTGTTGACCTGTACTTCCGCGCCCATATATGGGGATTACTTTATCTCGGCTGATACCAGCTTTGCATACTGGACACACTTGTCTGTTTGGTCGAGTCTCCAGCCACTACAAAATTAAAAAAAAAAAAATGTGAAGAAGCTAATCGCTTCCTTTATCTGTAACGATGTGCTGCTTCTGGTGGAGTGCAAAAACAAGAGGAAACAACGGTTTCAGCTTACCTGATGCAAACAAGGCCAGCTAATCAGGAGGAGATGCAAATGAAGATGGGAGAAGCTTGATTAGTTAGATATTAAATGTCCTTGAGCACCTATGAGTCACAAAGCAGGAACTTAAATTTGAAAATTTAACTTAATTTTGCCCAGAAGGGGTGTACTACAAAGCATGTTCTACAGGGTCAGGCTTTCTTTGCTTTAGGCCGGGATTATGCTTTCTGTGTCTGTAAGTCTGCTGGGGTTTGCTTGGATCCTAGTAATGTAAAGTTCATCTTGCATGCTTGGGTATTTTTTGTGAACACAAAAGACTCATCCAGTGAGAATTTACACCCCAGTGCACCAACTACACAGGCATTCCAGGTGGCTTCAAAGTAGTATAACAGGAACGACTACTCAACCAGCAGGTCTCCAGCTGTCTGTGTACACAACAGGTACACTGTGTATACTACAGGAATAAAGATATATCAAACATAATAAAACTGCAGAAAGGAACGCTGGAGCTGCAAAAATGTCAGGTGACAGAGTTGTTGTGAATTCATAAGTTGATTTATTTCTTTTAGCACTCCTAGAGCTGCTGCTTATTTGTGACAGGACAGCTGCACATTGCTTTCAGAGCCCTTGGTGTTGTCAGGTCAGGTCAGTGTCACAAAGCCTCATGAAGAAGATCTGGTAATCACTCAGTTTGTGGCCTAATCAAAGGGAAGTATATTTGACTGATTTAATATTCTCTGTGATAAAGAGCTCACAAATAAAATGTCCTTCTGACTGTTCTTGTTTTTCAGGAGTTCACCATGCATATTTGATTTTGCACAGATTTCATAACAACGGCCAACCCTGGCTCAACCGTCCTAATATTCGTGGGAGTGCACGAGCTTGTGAACCCCCAGGGCTCGGTTTGTGCCTCCTCCCCGTCTCATATCAGAGAGAAACTTCACACACTGTAAAGCCACTTAATAGCCCACAAATACACTGATTAATTTTCTAAAACAGGCTTGGCAACTAATCAGAACTAAGAATCAAAGCACGTTTCACCAACTGAACGCATGATGCATGGTTTGCTTCATTTGACAGTGTTAGTAAGGTGAAGGACCACAATTAGGGCAAATGTGATACTTATTTAAAGCAAAACTCTGAATATAACCTGTTATGAACCAGGTTGTGTGTTCAGCGTAAGTTACCAAAGTGATCGAGCCACATCTGAGACACTTCACTTTATAGCACAGCCCTTGGCTATTCTGTGTGGACCGAGGTTGGCCTGTATTACATTCGCAGAGGCTCAGAAGTGGAGGTGAACTCAAACCATCCCTGTTTACATGTTGGATGTCACACTGCACATCTGAAATTTTGTAGGACCTGCCTCACAATTTACTAATAAACAGGCAACATTAACTACTACTATTAACTTCTACCAAAACTTGGCAAACACTGAACGGAAATGCTAAGTATGATGTGATAAGTTATGCATGCTTGGAAACGATCTCGTCATGTCTGCCAGTTACAAACTGATATTGGTCTTTAGGAGCTATGCTGATGTGTCCCCGACTCACCTCTGGCTCACAATTAAAAATATAAAAATGTGTCACAGACAGCAGCACGCTTCTTACCAGAAGAGGTGTCCACATAAACTAATCACGGCGTCCTTGGCGGTGTCCAGGCATATGTTACATTCAAAGGTGCTGTCCTGGTTGCCACTGTCAGCGGCAGCCGAGCTACTAGATCCGGGGCTTGTGTTTTCAACGCCCGGAGTCGGAGGAGCAGCGTTGGCCATTTGTCACACAGCTTAAATCCTCTAAACAAGTAGCTGGGGTGACTACAATGGCACCCGGGGTCTCAATACATACACATAAAGAGGTCCAGTGGCCAGGAAGTGGGGCTAACGAGAGGAGAAAGGAGTGAAAACAAACAAAAATACCCTGCTGGAAGAAACGTCCATGTCGAACATTTACGCTAACGTTAGCAAACAAGGAAAACTAAGCACAAAACGACAGTTTCACAGAGATTAACCAACAGCTGAGCGACAGATGTTAAACGGTGTCACTCAGAAAATGATTGGATGGTGAGTGACTCTCATAATTTGTTGTGAGGAGTCTAGAAAATAGCCTTACAGACCTTTGCATCACACTTTCAGCAACGCCACTTAACCGGTAGTGGATCCCTGGAGGGGGCGTGGCTAATACTGAATCCGTGGGATTTTGTGGCCCTCAGTTAAGCCTTTCAGGTGAACCTGACAAAAGGTTCCACCACTTTTAAGCAGAGCTTTAAAGATGAAGGACATTTTGTGAAAGTTTGGTCTCATTTAACTGTGAAGAAGAGGTCAGAGGTCTAAAGTAACGTGATATTTAAAATCCCCATATATCATTTGCTGCATGCCTATGTTGTCAATCAACATACAATGGCAGTAAAAAAAAAACAGCAAATAGCTCCATATGGCATTATTATCACTTTGACCTTCAAATCAGTCTATAGACCTTGAAGGAGAAGTCAGAGTTCAAATGTGACCTAATATTTAAAATCTTCATGCAGTACTCTCTATATACACCACACATGTAAGAATCATAGTTTGTAAGTTAAAAGGCATTTTATCAATTTTTGACCAATAAATCATTTGCTTGACCTTGAAGACCCTAGTGGATGAAAGTCAAATTTTAATGGATAGTTAACATGACCTCACTCTGGAGCCCTACAAAGTTTGATCAGAATAATTAAAAAAAATTCGAGCTCTTGAATGAACTGAATGACACGCACGCACACAACCGCTACCAAAGACATAACCTTCTTGGCAGAGGTAAAAACTATCTACAAAGAAAAATAATCTGCAGGAACGTAAAAGTCAGGTGATAGTTTGATTTTTACTGGAAAAATGAATACAGGTACACTTAATATTTATTAATTAAAAGTACAAATATAAGTAATACAGTAATTTAGAGCAGACTTCCTTGACTGTACTTTGAAATGTAAGTCTAAGTAGCTTGGAAAGAAAAGCGTCTGGACTAATCACACGAGCTAAGGGTGTAGGTCGGGTGTAAGTTTGAAATGTAAGAACTTTGACAGAAGAAAGTGACAATAAAATACTACTATTTGTCAAGTTCCCTTTAAGGGAGACTGAGTGTGTATCTTTTTTTCAGTATTTTATTACATTCATTAGTGAGTCCACAGTTTTTGGCACTCATATTAATATTCATATTAATATTTACATGCATCACTTTGCTCCTCACAGTTCATCCATCTTCCCATTTTCTTGTGCTTATCCATTTCAGGCCTGAAGCCTTTCCAAGCTGCCAGGGAGCAAGAGACGCAGGTACACCCAGGCCAGGTCACCCATCTATCGCAGAGCTAACAATGCAGTACAATAAGTAAACTTAAAATATAAAATTCAAAGGAAACATGACAATAATCAATAAGACAAGACAGTCATTCACACACACAAAAATACCTGAGCAAAGATATGCTTTGTTTAACCTGAATGGATTAAGAATTAATAGCAGTTTCCCAGATTTCTGCTTGTCTGAATAACCGATTGTGATCACTTTGTCTTGAAATGTGATATTGTGCAAAAATCTATTAAAGTTACCATAATAACCTGTTAGTTCAACATTCAATATTATCAGTGTCATTGAGAACGGTAATCATATTTATGCACTGTGATGTACTCCTTAGTAAAAACTCTAATTTAGGCCAGTTTCCATTGTTTTGGACCTTGAGTGATTGAGACCACATGTACGAATATCCTCTGCCAGAGCATCCTCAATCCTTGATGATAAAGACCGCCTTAGGGTTTTCTTAAAGTCATTGCCGATGAACACATAGAGAACTGGAGATAGGAAGCTGTTTGCTGCAGCCAAGGTGGCCCCAACTTTTAGTCCAGTTTTAATGACCTCCAGGTTGTGTTTCTTAAAGTCTATCTCCAGCAGGACAAAGGTGTGGTAGGGGACCCAGCAGGCGAAGAAAGACAAAATGAGCGCAGCCATGATTTTGTACGGCTTTGTTGACTTGTGGGTCAGACTTCTGAGCTTTATGGCAAGCACAGAGCAACAGAAGACAATCATTAGGATAGGAATCAGGAACCCACAAATGAAACGGGTCAGTACCACCGCTTTATGTCTGACCCCATAGTCCGTGTGGCACTGAATGACCGAGCCGTGGACTGTGGTTTTCCTGTACATAAGTGAGGGCACTGTTAAGAATGCAGAAAAAACCCACATGAGGATGACGGCTCCAAAGGCTTTTCCTACTTTGCGGTGGTTGTGCGACCACACAGGAAATAAGACCATGATACAGCGGTCAGTGCTGATGAGAACCAACAGGAACACACTGCTGTGCATGTTGAGAAACAGGGCAGATGAGGCGAGCTTGCACAAGCGTTCTCCAAAGGGCCAGTGTGAAGTTATCATGTACACAACTTCGAAAGGCAACAAGGCACAGAACAAAAAGTTTGAAATGGCCAGGCTGATGTACCAGATGGTGATGACTGTGGTTTTCATTTTCCATCCACAAATCCAAATCACCAGGGAATTTCCTGCAAGCCCCAAAACACATATGATGATGTTGACTGCCACCAGAGCATAAGTTGAAGAGGACGAGGCGCTATATAAATTTAGGGTTCCTTCAGTGCTGAGGTTGCTATCGATGTCTGCGGTGTAGTTATCATAATCAACATACTCCACGTCCATGATTGTTCCTGAAATATATGGAACCACGATTTTTTAAAAAATACAAACATTTACACATATAAGCTTTAAAATTATAGGTTATAAATAACACAAAGTTTTTTTATAGAGAAAAAGATACTTACATAGGGATTTTATGTCTCGTGTGAAAATAGAGAGTTTAAAGTTGCTTGTGCTGTTGGGTGGACTTTCTCACTTCTGTTTCGTGGGCAGTAGTACTCAGTAAGTACTGACGTAGGTATTTTGCAACAGGAAACTAGAAGAGAAAGGAAAAAACTGCTGTAACATCCAAAAAGAGATATCCTCCAAAACTTAGGCAAAAAAATATCACATTTCTTGACCAGGATTGTGCCTACAGATCATTTTAGTGGAATGGAAGTTATTGTGTAAAACTGTAATCTGTGGTTGAGCTCGCATTAGACCTCATAAGAAATAATTAAACTGGTTTACTGCAGATGGGAGACATACAATACCACAAATATTACACATGGCATCTAAAAAAATTGAATTCCCACATTGTAAAAACCAGTTTACACAACATTATTAGGTAGAATCAGTTATGGCTCAATTAGCTCACGTGTACAGGACATTCTGAGTTCTGTGCTAATGTTCCTTTTGCAGTTCCCCAAAATCAAATACCAAGCTGTTATGCAACAAACCAAGTGGGGAAAAAAGATTAATAAACAACTTTCATTTCAGGAATCACAAGACAAGGAAGCAGTAAATAAATCTCACTCACGACACATTTTAGATCAATATTGGTACATTTATACAGCTCCTCTCTGTTTCTTATTAGTAAAGCTCAAGGGTGTGGCTTTAACCTAGCAGCAAAAATACACAAGCCTGTGACAAAGTGGCTAAGACAGAATTCATTTGCCATTTGTCACTTGCATATATTCTTATTTTGTGTTCTGTTATCCTGTATAGTCTATCATAATGCTTTAATGTAAACACAACACATGTAACCTTGGCTCTACATACTATCCTGGGTCTGTTTGTGGTAGCATTGGTTATATTCATTTCATCTGTGCAAATGTACTTAAAGCTAAATGTCACTTCATCATTAATTGATTTGGATCTTTCATTTGTTTATGTAGTTTGGTTATACTTACCATTGTGTGTTCCTTTGAGCAGGTCCTATGTGTAAAACAGGTATGTGGGAAGGGCCGCCCCAGTACTTCCTGATCATGTCAATTGGGTGTAACCAAATGAAGGGGTGTTTCTTTTGTGTAAAATTGTTTATTTCATTTAAAATAACCTCATGAGTCAGATTACGTGAAGAGATTGACTTTTCAAACTGTTTCGTTGGGTGAATGAGTTTGTTAAGTGGAAAAATGATTTTATTCCTGTTTCTTTGTCTAGACTGTGTTATTTAGTCTACCCTGTTTTCCCAATGGTAGAGGTTAATGAGATCCAGGTGTGAGTGGAATTCTATATAAAGCAGGAGAGCTTTTGACTGACAGGTACACAGGAGGGTGATGTGGGGTGAACTGAGTGGTGGAAGGGAACTTACATTTGGACAAGTGGTTGATAAGTTGAGTCATGGTGAAGGGAAAGTGGTGGTTTTTCGTTTTTGAGAAGTACTGGTCTCATCAAGAGGATCTGAGAATTCAGGAGTGACGGACGGTTAACAGCCAGGAGATGGCAGTAATGCAACAGTTTTGGATGCAAGCTGCCGTTAAACTTGACTGAAGAAGAAGAAGACTGACAGGTTCAATGATTAATGATGTGTTTAATGACATAGAGGGTGGGGTGTTCACTTTTTGCTGATGATGGAGGAGAGGGAGGAATGTTGGTTTTGTTGTAAAGAAGTTACAGGAAGCGGTTGGTAAAGTGGAAGAATGGTCGTGGGGATTCAAGTTTTCAGTTGATAAGACTAAGACAATGTTTTTTACAAGTAAGAGGGTTAATGAGGAAATTAAGCTGAAGCTATATGGCATAGGATTAGAAAGAGTGAGGAAATTTAAGTTTCTGGGGTTGTGGTTTGATGAGAGGTTAACTTGGGGTGCACACGTTCAGGAATTGGTGGATAAGTGTAAAAAAGTTTTGAACATTTTGAGGTGTTTGGGAAGGATTGGGGAGCAGATAGGGAGTCCCTGAGGGCTATATACACTGGATTGGTGAGGGCAATGTTAGATTATGGTTGTGTGGCATATAATTTGGCAGCAGACACTTCTCTTAGAAAGCTAGATTTGATTCAGCATCAGGTGTTGAGACTTTGTACAGGGGCGACTCCCACTGTAGCCTTGCAGGTGGAGATGGGGGAAATGCCACTAGGGCTGAGGAGGGAACAGCTTACATTGACATATTGGGCAAACTTACAGGGTCAGGGGACGGATCGCCCTGCATTAGATGTACTTAGACCTTGCTGGGAGAAGGGCAGGAGGGAGTTAAAGAGCTTTGATGGGTGGTGGGGGGAAGAGCTAGGGAACTTAAATTGGACCACTTAGACATATGTCGGCGAGTGCCTAGGCCTGCAATCTCTCCATGGATACTTCCTGAAGCAGCTGTAGATTTTTCTTTGTTGCGCCAGAAGAGTA